TTGGTCTTTCTGTGCTTTCACATTATGAGAAAATCTCTTGTATCTTATAACTGTATTAGAAAATACTATGAGAAAACGTAATCAGAATTCTTGGGGGGCAGGGCCTGGGAGTGTGCATCTGATGGACTCCCCGGGGACTAAGGCACACTAAAGTTTGAGGTTGGATGCTTCCGAATCTGCTCTTTAGTTACACTCATACTGCAAGAATAGGGAGCGAGCCATTTGGACATAAAAAGAAAGGACCAGCTTTAGTGTTTTTCTAATAAAGTGACTTCCTTTGAACCTTTATTGCTGAAGGGTTGTGAAGTGAAACTCTTTCGGTAGTAAAAATGCTGGCCGAAAGGAAATCATCAAACTGGACAAACTGGACTAGGGATTGAGTTGATGGCCATATTGGGGCCACGGTTTAGGTCTGTGACTCCCGGCCCTCTGGCCCCTGAATCTTCCCTGGAAGCTCCGAAAAGCTGTTCATTTCCCGCATCGCCGGTGCCAATTCTCCAGCGTAGCCACGGGTGGGAGCGGGCAGCTGTTGGGCAGCGCGGCCCGGTTCTGAGGCGGAGAAGGGAAGTGTGTCCAATCACCGCGGCACGGGTAACGTGGGGCAGCAGCCCGCCCATGTAGGTGGCTGGAGCCACAGAAGAGCCACGTCATGCCATGTGATGCAGTCCTGGAGGTCTGCCCCGCTCCAGCTCACCATGTGATGCAGCGACCTCAGGTGCAGCATGTCTGTGTCCAGACCTTCCCCAAGCACCTCTTCAGTCACAGGGCGTCGGGGGAACTGGCTTCCGCACTCGCTCCCCATCCAGATGGCCTTCCAACTGTGGACTCCATGTTAATGATCACCCCTCAGGTGGGAAAGCGGAGGGAAACACCGTTCCCAATGCAGAGGGCCATGAAACACCACACAAAGAGAAGCTGTAACCAGCACTGCGCTGTTAGGAACAGTGGTGGCTTCTAAGTAACATGCACACGTCCCAGGACTGACACACGGTGAAGAGCTGAGGCGGGGTTTAAGGAAACCTGCTTTGGGGACTTGGCTTTGTTTCTGCCCTTCCCCGACCTTCCCAGAAACTGCCCTGGAACATTCTTACTACATTGTTTTTTAGTTTCACTAACATCTACACCCCACCACCACATTAGAATGCGAGTATTGCCGCTGCCCGGCGCAGGCTGCTGGGATTAGTCTCTCGGGGGACTGGACCACACACCTGCCCGGACTTGCCTTCTCACTACGCTCACCACAGCTCCGAGGACACTGTGTCCTTCAGTTCCCTGCGGGAAGCTCCTGGGCCACCAACCCTGAAAGCGTCCATTGCTTTCAATATTTCCGCATGTGACGAACATGTGCCCATGGAGTCTGTGGTGGTGTCTGGTGGCTTCTTCGGTCTGGGTGTCCGAATTCCACAGTGTGCCTCCGTGCCTTACGGAAATGAACCGAAGCGCGGCTGATGCTTGTCCAACTCCGGGTGCCATTCCCACCTGGAGTCCTTGGTGCCCGATGGAGGGGCGCAGTGCGCAACCTGGACGGCCTTGGGTAGTGGCCCCGATTGCTGCAGAGCCGGGGCGTGTGCTGAGGGGGAAAGGCTGACCGTGTGCGCTTCAAGGGCAGCGTGGAGGACATCAGCGCTGGAGTGGGGCGGAGTTCACCCTGTGGGATTATGGGGTGAGATTTGTATCGCCTGCCAAGCTTTCAGGGAGGCTGCTGAAGGAGATCTTAGGGCCTTGCTTCCTGGGAGGCTCTGGGTTTGGGGTGTGGTTGACCTCAAACCCCGGAGGGGGCTGGGCAGTAGCCAGCAGGGGACATGCACTCACCAAGCTATGAGCTCTCTGAAGGTGTGTCAGCCCTTGCTGGACAAGGAGGGGGGTTTTGTTTTTTCCTTTTTGAAAATCTAGTAGCGCCTTAATGTTCGGGCAGAGCTTGCTTTCTCTGCAACCCCAAGCTTCCCAGCGAGCGGGCTTCCTGGGAGGGGCCCTGTTCCGCCAGCAGAGTGCTCAAGCCGGCACTCATCTGCAACGCTAGGTCCCTTTGGAGATCCGAAATGGAGCTGCTGAATTGTTGTCATGGTTACCTGGGACAGTTTCTAAGGCCAGAATGTTTTCAAGGAGGGCAGCCCTGAGCTGGGTATCCTGGGTTTCTGAGCAGGCAACTGAGCCCAGGGAATTGCTTCCCTCTTCCTTCTCCCATTCTCCCAGTCCCTTGCCAGGAGCCTGGCCGATCACTCAGCCCTGCCCAACACTACAGCCCACGCTTGCCACAGCCTTCCGAGATCAGGCTGACCTGGCAGCACCCTGACGGGCTCAGGCTGCCTCCTCCCCCTACAAACCAGCACAGGTTCCCGGACTCACTCACGCATGCAGCTGCTTCTGGGCGAAAGACATCTGGGAAGCAGTTCTCTGCATTTAATATATTAATAAGGAACTGACATTTTTGAAAACCTATGAGCCCAGCACTTCACATGTATCTCGTGTAATTTACTGACCTACTGCTGGAGGAAATATCATTCACATTTTATCTGTGAGGAACCAGAGGCTGGCAGAGGTGATGCCTGGGGCTGTACAACAGCAAGTGGCAGAGCTGGGATTCAAATTCAGGTTGGTAGGTTCCAAAGACAGTCAGTCCTCTTTGCTCCAAGTAATGGCTGCCATGTTAGCCACTGAGAACTGGTAACCCCAAAAAGGACTCTGCACTGTCTGCTGGGCACGGAACATCCACTAGGTCCTGTAAGAAACATGTCCCGAGTCTGCTCCATGCCAGACCTTCTGCTGGCTACCGGAGACACAGAGGCAAATCAGGCCCAATGCTTGCCCTCAAAAAACTAGTCCACTGACAACCAGCAGCAATTTTAAAAGGGGGGCTCTATAAGATGCTAGAAAGAGGGCAGCCAGGGAACCAATCGGGAGGAAATGACACCTGACAGCTAAGCCTCAGTCTGCCCAGATGTGGGGAGTAAACAGCAGAGTAGGCCCAATCCCTATGCCCCAGGTGCTTGCAGGAGAGCCACAGAGATGGGATTCATGCTTGCGACACGATAAGAAAGAATAAAACCACTAAGGCTCTAAACAGGTGTTCTACACGGAAGTGTTGGAAGATTGAAAAACCAGGCAGCAGAAGCTGGGGCCATTGAGGGAAGGTTACAGAAATGAAGCAGAAGCCACCTTTGTTCATAAAAGAGTTCTTAAAGGTCTTTGATCTCTCTTCTTCCCCTACTCTTGCCACAGTCACTTCTGGCTCTACTCTGATTTATTTTCTTCATTTTTCATTTCCTACTAAAGGAAAACACTCACCTATTCAACATCTTTAGAGCTTGTGCCGAGAGCAAGGCATTCACCTACCCAGTGGTTCTCAACCTTCTGGCCCTTTAAATACAGTTCCTCATGTTGTGACCCAACCATAAAATTATTTTCGTTGCTACTTCATAACTGTAATGTTGCTACTGTTATGAATCGTCATGTAAATATCTGATATGCAGGATGGTCTTAGGCGACCGCCAAAGGGGTCGAAACCCACAGGTTGAGAACCGCTGACACACCTGACGATGGTCACAGTGGTGGGAACGTGTAACGATGAACAAGACATACCCTTGAGCAGCAAGTGAACAACCTAACTGAGAAAGTACGAGAGATCGGAGTTCCAAACCAAATAGCAGAGCAATGAAATACTTCAGACTAGGCAAGGGGGCTGCCATTCAGGAATGACTTCATCCTTGCAGGTTTGTTCACTCGTTTCTTCAGCACTCATTCCCTGATGCCTCCTCTCCTCACAGAGCCCACAGGAGCATGGACATAAGCAACCATTACAATACACAGCATTGTGATAAACAAGCACAAGGTGCACAGAGCTGTGGATGCTCAGAGCGAATCCACAAGACAGAGCGGGGTGGCTTTTGAACTGAGTCCTAAAGCTCAACAGGGGTTCACCAGGTGGAGAAGAGAGGCAGGGGAGGGGAAAGCACTGAGAGGATGTTTGAAACAGCTTGGTGTGGGGCGTTTGGGGGTGGGGGTGGGGTGAGTTTTAAGATCTACAAAGGCCTTGCCCAGCACGGCTCAGTGGTTGAGCGTGGACCTATGAACCAGGTCACACTTGGGTTCCCGGACAGGACACATGCCTGGATCGTGGGCTGGATCCCCAATGTGGGGCGTGCAGGAGGCAGCTGGTCAATGATTCTCTCTCACCATTGATGTTTCTATCTCTCTCTCTCCCTCTCCCTTCCTCTCTGAAATTATATATATATATATAAATTTACAAAGGCCTTGAACACCAAATTTAGGCGAGGTACCCATAGAAGAGATCTGAGCGGGTGAGGACCACACGATTTTTGTTTTGAAGATGCCCCTCTGCTACAGGGTAAGGTGGCTGGAAGGGGATGGACACCAGGCTCAGCCACGGGCGGCCCAGCAGCTGTACCTTTGTGCCCCAAACGCCGCGCCAGACCTAAGCCAGGCCGCGGGTGGGAGTGTAGGGTGAAGGGAGAGTCTAGGCTAGGACGTACGCAGTTCTAGGCACCGGACAGCTGGGAGGACCCCCTCTGGGGCGGAGCTCGGGGCAGCACGTGACGCCCGGGGAACCACCTTTACTGTGGGCAGTCCTTCCGCTCACCCGCGTTTTCAGGGGTCACCACTTCGACACCCAACACCTGGCCCCTTTTCCGCGGTGCTCAGGGCATCCGTTCTCTTCCCCGCGTCCCTCCATGCTCCTCCTGCCGGGTGTGGTGGGGGGAGATAAGCAGCGAAGGAGGCCTCTGCCCGCCCTAAAGATGGCGACCCGCCGCGCTCAGCCCGGGTGGGGGCGGGGTCCGGGCGGCCGGCCTCACTGGGCGAGGCGCTGACGGAAGGGGCGTCTCTCGAGGGAACTTTTCGACCTTCCTGGGAGGGGCATCTAAGGGGAGGGGCGTGGCCCCGTCTAAATTCCGGCAGCGGATTGGTCTCTCGGCGGGTGGGCGGGGCGTCCGCGGTACCCCACCCCGCCCTCTGCGAACCGGAAGTGTCTCTCGCTCCTTCCAGCTGGTTGTCATTTCACTCGGCTCGGTCCTGAGGAGAAGGACTCAGCCGCGGCTGCGGGACCCGAGCACCGGGAGGCGGCGGCGGCGGCGGCGGCGGCGCCCGCGGCGACAGCAGAGGAGGAAGAAGGAGAGAAGAAGAAGAGCCAGGCGGAGGCCGCCACGACGACAGCGGGCACTGCGGACCGGGGTAAAGCGACGCTGGCGGCGGCGGCGGCGGCGGCGACGACGGCGGCGGCCCAGCAACCGTGAGGAGAAACAAAAGCCTTCTAAATTATAGTTAAAAAAAAACAAAAAACCTTGGGGGAAAAAGAGCGAGAGCGCGCCACGGGGGGAAGGCCCTGCTCTCTTAACGCCACTAGCGGGGTTTTCCTTGCTTCCCTCCCTGCGGAGAATCGAACTGAGAGAACCGAACAAACCGCCCCGGGGTCCCATGAGGGAGCCACACCGCGGAGCCGCCGCGAGGGGAAGAGGCCGAGCCCGCAGGACCGTCCAGGTCGCCCCCGCGGTCCCCGCGCCCCCGGGCCGCCGGCTCGCCCTCGTGCGGTCTCGCTAGTCCCTGCCGATCGCGACCCCCGCGGAGGGAGGAACGGGTGTTGCCAGCCCCTTTCATGGGGGAGAGGAAGCCGGGGGGGAGCCCAGGAACAGCGACCGCAGCGAGACCCGCACCCACAGCCTCCGGGACAGCCCCCGAGGCCCAAGCTGCACCCCGCGGAGGAGCAGGCACGGGACCGGGAACGGCAGACACCTCCCTGCGGTCACCTTCCCAGTAGTCGATGCTGACCTCCTCGCCCGCAACCAGGAATTCACCGCCGCCCCAGATACCCTAATATAATCTATCTATCTATATATAAATATATAATATATAATGTTCTTAAATTATTCCCGATTTTTTTAACCAAGCTGCCAAGAAAAGAACGTATTCTCTCCCCCTCCCCCCACCCTTTTAGCCCTATTCTAATTTTTATGTGAGTGAATCTAAACTGCTGAGGAAGACCATATGTGATTGTTAAATTATATATATATACACATATACATATATATATTTTTTACTCCGCGCAATGCTTATTCTTCTACATCCATAGATGCTTGAGAAGCTGTGTTTTTGTCATTCATGTAACACATTTTCCTTTGGAAAAAAAGAAAGCGCCTATTTTACTAACCAAAGACTTGGTTTTTACCCTCTTCGTTTTTATTCCCTCCTAGAAAGAAGCCCCATTTTGGATGAAATTTGGGTGTTTTTTTTTTTTAGTGTGTTTTTCTTTTCAGAGACCAGAATTCCAAATCAGAGCTATTTAGGGTGATAAGCTGCAATCTTTGAGCTAGCTATTAATAAGACATTTCAAACAAACAAATATTTTGGGTAGAGGATACAAAGGCGTGAAACATCAGGTTGTCGTGTTTTTTTAGTTTTTTAATTTTTTGTTTTTTTTATTATTGTAAGATTCTGCTCCTAAAAAATAATAAATGGGGGATTACGGGTTTGGAGTGCTAGTGCAAAGCAATACTGGGAATAAATCTGCTTTTCCAGTCCGATTCCACCCGCATCTGCAGCCTCCACACCATCACCAAAATGCCACCCCCAGCCCTGCTGCTTTTATAAATAATAACACAGCTGCCAATGGCAGCAGTGCCGGCTCAGCCTGGCTCTTCCCTGCTCCGGCTGCCCACAACATCCAGGATGAGATCTTGGGGTCAGAAAAAGCCAAAAGTCAGCAACAGGAGCAGCAAGACCCCCTGGAAAAGCAGCAGCTCTCCCCCAGCCCCGGTCAGGAAGCTGGAATACTGCCTGACACGGAGAAGGCGAAATCGGAAGATAATCAAGGGGACACTTCTTCAGAAAATGGCAATGGGAAGGAGAAGATCAGAATCGAGTCACCCGTGTTGACAGGGTTTGATTATCAAGAAGCTGCGGGGCTCGGTGCTTCCACCCAGCCCCTGACGTCCAGCGCCTCGTCTCTGACTGGCTTCAGTAACTGGTCAGCGGCCATCGCGCCCTCCTCCTCTACAATCATCAACGAAGATGCCAGTTTCTTTCACCAGGGAGGGGTCCCCGCTGCTTCGGCTAATAACGGTGCTCTGTTGTTTCAGAATTTCCCCCATCATGTCAGCCCTGGCTTCGGAGGCAGCTTCTCCCCGCAGATCGGGCCTCTGTCCCAGCACCACCCTCATCATCCTCACTTCCAGCATCATCACAGCCAGCATCAGCAGCAAAGGAGGTCTCCTGCCAGTCCCCACCCCCCACCTTTCACACATAGAAATGCTGCTTTTAACCAGCTGCCTCACTTGGCGAATAATCTTAACAAGCCCCCCTCTCCATGGAGCAGCTACCAGAGCCCCTCTCCTACACCCTCTTCTTCCTGGAGCCCGGGCGGTGGCGGATATGGTGGCTGGGGAGGTTCCCAAGGCCGCGATCACCGCCGAGGGCTGAACGGAGGAATAACGCCCCTGAACTCCATCTCGCCTTTGAAGAAAAATTTTGCAAGCAATCATATTCAGCTCCAGAAGTACGCTCGCCCCAGCTCTGCCTTTGCTCCTAAGTCCTGGATGGAAGACAGCTTGAACAGGGCTGACAACATTTTTCCTTTTCCGGTAAGATTGCGTTCCACTAACAGATAAAGATGAATAAGGAAATGGCCTGGTGTAGTATCCAACTAAGACAGTTTGAATTGTCCATGTTCCTATCGGAGCTCTTCTTAGAATATGAGTTACCAGACGTTATTTTGGTAGGAGAGGAGTGTAACTTGGAACAAAATGTTCAGCTGTTTCTTGGGTAAATGTCTCATTGCAATCTTCCCATAGGTAATTGTATGACTTGGCATCATTAATACCAGGTAGCTAGCTAGTGATGTCGTAATTATTAACTGTAATACCTTTCTAGCCTGACAAGAGAATCAGGGTTGGTTTTTCCCTACTTATTTATGTAAAGTACATAATGTAGAGATACCTTTTGCTGTGGAAACTGCTGAGCATTTTCTACCCATATGCAGTAACTATATAACCAAAAAAAAAATTCCTTTTTCTCCACTGGAAGGTACCAAGTCACTGAAAACCAACCCTTAAATTGTAGTTTTCTCACGCTTACATTTTATACCTGGAACCTCTCTGAACCATGCGGTGTGAACAGTCTGAACTCATTAATTTCCTTTGAAACCTCCGCAGTTTCTGGCCTGCCTTGTATCAGCAAGGACTGCTAGAGAAATGATCTAAGTGTTTTCTTCATGCTCATTTATTTGTGAATACTATGAAACTGTAGATCGCAGAGTGACTCTTTTATGATGCCTTTCACCCATTTGTTTATTTTCCAATGTTAACACTAGGGGTGTAGTTAATTAAACCATGCCTAAAAATAGATCCAGGCCAGGATCACTTGTCTGTCTGCCACCAGTGTATCCTTATTCTGCAAGGCTCACATTGTTTGATGTTTCTGAATTAATGAGCAGCCTATCTAGCTGATAGATATGAGATAAGGGGAATTTCATAGTTAATTGAACATCAGATGCCCCACTGAATTTGTATATTTTGGGGGTATGATCATTTATGTGTTCAGGAAATTTATATGAGATAATAAACTAACATTTAATCAGTCCTCACAACCCCACAAGGTAAGTTCAATTATTATCCCATTTTACAGATGAAAAAATTGAGTATCAGAAAGTTATAACATTCTTAAGAGCACACAGCTCATAAGAGTACAAACTCTAGGTTAAAAAAAACAAGGATTAAAAATATATCTGTATATATACATGCTTATACATACACATGTGCTGTAGGATTATTTTAGATCTCTTTCTGCAATGGCTAAAACAGATTACGTGAAGAATTATCTGTTTTAATTAATAGTTTACTTAGTGGTGGGGGATGTTTGCTAAGAAAACACTGTGTCATTCCAAGGAATGAAATATGCCCTCTCTAAGGATTCAGGTGTAATGGTTAGAATGTATCATAAAATATTTGGTTAAATTTAGTTTTAGATTCTTTAAAAATAATTTTTTGCCTAAGGATCAAAAAGCTCTATTGGCTTCTGTTTTTAGAAAGGAATTTTACTCAAACCAAAGGGAGCAATTATTGTGTTTCAGTGGTCAGGTAAAAGGCCATTAAGACATTGACAATCTCATGAAGTCTAGTTTTAAAAAGTTACTTTTGACATTCCTTTGAACATAAATTTAAGGGAAATTTAATGCAAAGGTAACTGCTATGAGTTACTCATATATTATTGCTAATTTAAAAAAATCTAAGGTGGCATTTTATACATTTTAACTGGATTAAGATTGGCTCAGAATTGAATATTGAATACACTATTCTTTTTTATTTTGCTACTATACACTAATGGAATGACTCATGGTTTATTGTCCATTCTCAGTTTACTAACTTTGATAAAGGTTTGCTTTGGGAAAAGTAAAAATTTCAGAAAATGAATAAACTACATGTGTGCACATAAATAATATTTTTATGGAGCTAATGGAATGTGTTTAACAAGTGAAATCTTTTCCATCAGATGGTTTCTATTAAGTTGGTTTCTGAAATAAGAAAATAGGCTAGGATTGTTACTAAAATATATTGTTAGAAACTAACTCATCCCTTGGAATTGTTGTCTGTTATGCTGAGGGTGGGAAAAAGGAGTCAATATACCTGGCTCAAATGTGGTAGGATTAGAAAGTAAATTGCTCATTTCTCCTCACCATCCCCACAGTTTTTTAGAGAGATTGAGGAGAGAGTGTGTAAGAGAGCAGGAGAGCACGCACACACACACACACACACGCATGAGTATGCAGGCGCTAGCATTGCGCTAGCATTGGGATGATTTGAAAGTCACAATAAAAATAAGTGATTTGAAAAAAAATCTTTATAACAAGAAATTCCTAATTGGGTTTTGAAAATATCATAACAAGTTAGTAAACTGACTGCTGTGGTGCTTACTGGAATGAATGTAGTTCTGTGTGTTTGTTTTAACAAGAATTCTTCTGAATTAATTATTTGGCACAAAAAATAGTTTCGAATTGATATGAATTAGATAAATTTGATATGAAAACACTTGAAGGGACATTTGACTGGGAGCCAGGAGACCTATGTTGTGGTCTTAGCCCTATCAGTCGGTATCATAGCATCGGGGGCACTCAGTTTCTTTATAAAATGTGGGGGGTGACTTTCTAAGTTCCTTTTGATCCTAAAGCAAAGCAAGATACTGTGGAATTTACTACCACAATCCACTCTTTAAAAAAAACAACAACACCACTACTCTCTTATTTGAATTTATTTCTTTGAGCACTATTAATTTTAGGAAAGACATTTTATAGATATTAGTAATTCAGTTTCGATTGCTATTCCTTAGATGTAAGAGAGATCTTTAAATTTACCACAAACATTACAGGATAGAGCTACTTTTTAACATTGGTATCCAATCAAAGACTAGCATGGTATTGTTTTTTAAAAGGAAATAACTTACCTGAAATGTAACTAATACTAAACAATGTTTATTTAATTTAAAATTAATCAGAATGGTTTTTATGTTTGTTTAATGCGTTTGAGTACCATATAGTGAATTAAAAACAATGGTAACATTTTTAATGAGGTGGGGTTTTTTTTGGCCAATCTTAACCTTTTCTTTTATCCATGTTTATGGAGCAGGAGCACAGGTTCCAAATATGTGAATAATCTTCCAGATAACTGATATTCCAAAGCATTGTATTTTGGGATATTTTGTATTAAAATTTGTTTCTAAGTTACTTTTGCTTAACTTAAAGTTTTCATTGTGTGAATTCAGATAACATTCCTCAAGTCCAGTTTTCAGATACAACTAAATTTAACATATATTTAATAATAGCTAACATGTCTATGATATTCTAAATGTTTTACATGTATTAACTCATCTAATTCATTCAACAATCATACAAGGTAGAAATTATTATTATTATTATTACTATTCACACATAAAATTTGGCTCTTACCTATTATACTACAGTGCCTCTTCACAAAACCTGATACAGGTGGGAGGGACGGGTTATGGGAAGGAAATGCCTCCCAGAAGCATGTAAGATGAGAGGAATCTTTTTACAGAGAATAATTGATACATGCTGCTCTGAAGCTGATTATAGATAACATTTTGAAAGTAGAAAATAATAGAATATATTTATCAACTTTAAAATGTTAAACTTAGTATTCAAATCAAATATTTTTTTGTTTTTATTACATACTAGAGGCCCGATGCACGAAATTTGTGCAAGAGTAGGCCTTCCTTCCCCCGGCTGCTGGCACCAGCTTCCCTCTGGCACCTGAGACCCAGGCTTTCCTCGCAGCCCCTGCTTCGTCTGGAAGGTCGCCTGGAAGGACATTCGATCTAATTAGCATATTACTCTTTTATTATTATAGATTATTATAGATTACATACCAGGCACTGAAATATAGGTGCTTTTACATATGTTGTCTCACTTCCTATGTGAGGTTTCTCAGCCCGTGAGGTCTGGTTTTATTGTCCCAATTCCAAAATGAAGAAACAGGATCCATATTCATGTGACTACAGACATGATTTGACCTTCACATTAATGGGGGGCGGATCCCCCGCCCCATCCTACAAGCACATCCTGGAATTCTGATGTCCAAACCAAATAGTATGTTGGGGCATCACCAACAATTATATTTGACTATAGGATTTCTTTGGAAGGGTGCCTAGATCATCTGCCCTACACAGAAGTAAAGGGGAATTGTGTAGTATCTATTCTCATACTCTCTTATCTTCAGCTCAGTTATGTTCCCACCTCCATTAGCTAAGAACCAGGAAGTAGGCAGAAAAAATAGGGGGACAAAATCTGTCACAAAGATTGATTGATAGGGAGACATTTTAGGACTTAGAGATTATTTGCTCTTACTACAGACACAGTCACCATGGATTTGTTTTCTTAACCAGGCAAATAATTCATGTCACTTTAATAGTTCTCCTTGGGTTGTCAATTTATTGATCCTTAAAATTATAAATGCCATCTTACATTTTAAAACAGAAAGTGTACTGTGTTGCTTCAGTTCTAAAAGTCATGGTGAATTATTAAATTGTCTAAAGTACAACGTCATTACATTTTTTGTTTTTAATATAGTTTTATGAGGGGTCTTTGACTTTGTATTTATTTATACAAGAAGAGGGGAAACTAATATTTTCACTGTAAGTTCCAGCAAAATTGAGATACTGGAAAAACTTTGGGAAAAGCCTACCAGATCTAATTTTATGTCTTTTTGTAGAAAGCTTTTTAACTAGGTGCAATTGCATTTCTGATGGAATAGAATTTGAGTTGGGTAGAGTTTTTGATTATATTTTGTTGTCTTCAGAGAAGCCATGGAATATGATCAACACATTGTTCCAGCATCTTTCAGGAAAAAACTGTTTATTGCAAGCCTACTGATTGTGTTTTTTGCTAATTGCAACTAGAAAGATGCTACTTACTTAGTTCGTGAATTTATGCTTTTGAAAATAATCCTTATTGGTGTTCATGAGAAAGAAATGAAAGGCAGTCTTAACATTCACATATGTCTACTTTGAATTTTAAAGTCTAAATGTATTTTTCTTAAGACTGTTCTCTATGTTGCTAGAAGGAAAATAAGCT